AAAGTTGAGTAGTCAGTTGAATATATACGTTAAACTTGTTCAAAGGAGTGTTCAGACTAGAGATAGAAATTTAGGAGTCGCCAGTTTGTAACTGCCACCGTTTAAGGTGATGATCATATATGAAATGACTAAAGGAATTAGTGCAGGCTATAAATAAAGAAATGCTTCCGGGGGCCTCCCCGGTGGCACAGCGGTTTAGCGCTGGGCTGCGAAGCTGCCCGCAGTCTCTGCAGCGCTGGTTCAATCCCCGGCCGCTGGCAAGGGTCGCACATGGCACGCAGACCTCTCCTGCCGCCCGCTGCTTTCCTCAGCAGTGTACTTCTCACAGCGGTTTAGCGCTGGGCTGCGAAGCTGCCCGCAGTCTCTGCAGCGCTGGTTCAATCCCCGGCCGCTGGCAAGGGTCGCACATGGCACGCAGACCTCTCCTGCCGCCCGCTGCTTTCCTCAGCAGTGTACTTCTTTGGTCTGCCTGTTCTGTTCCCCGCTCTGGCTCTGGTGAATTCTCTCACCCTCCCGCGCTTCTGACTGTACCCTGGTGCTTGTGTGGATAAATAAATAAATCTTTAACAAACAAACAAAAAAAAGAAATGGTTCAACCCCTGTTGATGGTAAGAAGCCAGGGACTTAAGTAGGAACCAGCCAAAGAGGCTGAGAAGGAAGTGACAATGAAACAGGAAAACAATGAGAATGGGGTGCCCTGCAAGCCACAAAAGAAAAGCCTTTTTAGGAGGAGGCAGTGATTTGTTTTAATGAAGTAGGTCAAGCAGTAGGAATATTGAGAGTTAACTTATTGTACTTTGCAATACAGAGACCATCAGTGACCTTGTGAAGAGAAGTCACAATGAGAAGGGCAAAAATCTTACTGGGATCAAGAGAATAGGGGTGGGAGGAAATGGCAACTGGGGCCATAAAAAGCCATTACTTCCCTTCACTTAACAATCGCTTTTGAGAAATAAGAAGCACATATAAGCAGAATGGTTTTGGAGTGTTTCATAAATGTTAAATAAGATTCATACTATTATGACTGTACTTCAGGTAGTTTAATTACAAAGTTAGTATGGTCCTTGTGTGAAACAACATAAAAACTATTTATTGGGCCTCCCTGGTGGTGTAATGTGTTAAGATGATCCCCGACCAGCGAGCTATCCACATGGCACAGCAGACCTCTCCTGTCTCACCCGCTGCTCCCCTCAGCAGTGTATTTCAGTCAGTTGGCCTGTTCTGTTACCCACTCTATCTCTGGTGAATCCTCTCACCCCCACACCTCTGGCCTATACCCCAGTTCTTGTATGCATAAATAAATAAATATTTAAAAGGAAAAAAAGAAAGAAACCATTTATCAAGGAAGTTCTCTCTGTTCCTAATTTAAGGTTTTATCATTTTTTAAATAAATGTGTTACTTTGTATTTTTTCTGCATTAGTTGAAATTACTCTAAAATTTATCTCCTCTATTTGTGTTATGTTACATTGATAGAATTTTCTAATATCAAACCATCCTTTTATTCTTGAGCTAAATCCTAATTGATCACATGGGAGTTTATTGTTATTACTCTCATTGTTTTTGTTTTGTGCTTTTAAAAATATACATTGATTTAAACAATTGGCATATAAGAAGATTATCTGTTACTTGAAGATTCAAGAATGCTAACGTGGGCCTCCACTGCCCGCAGCCTCTGCAGCGCCGGTTCTATCCCTGGCCACTGGCGAGGGTCCCACATGGCGTGCAGACCTCTCCTGCCATGCCCACTGCTCCCCTCAGTGGTGTACTTTGTCAGTCTGCCTGCTCTGTTCCCCGCTCTGGCTCTGGTGAATTCTCTCACCCTCCCACGCTTCTGACTGTACCCAGTGCTTGTATAAATAAGTGGATAAATCTTTAAAAAAAAAAAACGCTAACTTAAAAAGCATATGGGTTTGGTGTCTCCTTTAAGAAAGGAACACTTACCAATTTGGTTTCTTTAGTAATTACTGATTTATACAGCATCTGTATATTGTGAATCAGTTTGGTAATTCATTTATTTTCCATTTTATCTGTGTTTTCAAATGTGTTGGCATGAAGATACCTGCACTAACTCTGTAACTATGCCACTTTTTCATTCCTACTATTTTTGTCTCTTTTTCCTTGATCAGTTTTGCTATATTTCTTTTTTGTAAATATGTTAAAGAGCTAAAGTTTTGTTGCTTCTTTTTAGTTTCTTTGTACCAATTTTATTGAAACATTGATTTTATTTCCATTCTTTTTTTTTTGTTGTTTGTTTGTTTGTTTATACATGCACTGGGTACAGTCAGAAGCGTGGGAGGGTGAGAGAATTCACCAGAACAGGGAGCAGAGCAGGCAGAAGGACCGAAGTACACTGCTGAGGGGAGCAGTGGGCGGCAGGAGAGGTCTGCGCACCATGTGGGACCCTCCTCCAGTGGCAGGGGAGCAGCTGGGGATCGAACCAGCGCCGCAGAGGTCGCCGGCAGCTTCGCAACCCAGCGCTCAACCACTGCGCCACCAGGGAGGCCCATTATTTCCATTCTTTTAATTCCATTAAGTTTACTCTTCCCCTTTTATGTCTTCTTAAATTGAAATGCTCTGTGTTGCACTATCAGGAGATACATAGTATGAAGAGAAACATAATGTCAGCTTTGCCACCATTAATGATGCTAAGTTCGATAATTTTGGTTAAGTAACTGCTAGTTCTTCCCATTATTAAAAGGACTTAATTCCCTTTGCAATTACTGATGTCATAGTTACTCAGCTTATTTCGCTTAAATGAATTCGACAGCCATTGAAGACCTTCAATCAGTTGTTGCACGGGGGGGTGCTGATGACTTTCTACATTTCTTTCTCCATTATTAGCTGGTATTCTATTTTGTTTGTTGTTGTTTTTCAAATTATTGCTTATGAATTTTTATTTTTTCAGGGTGCTCTAATTAAAGATAGTCGTTATTCTTTTTGATGCTCAAGTTGTCCCAAATGCAGCTAGTGAAACCCCTTTAAAATTACACTTGTGTTATTTTGACACATCTCCATTAATCTTCCTTTCTGGCACAAGGTGGCCTAAGCCTACTTTGTACTCTCCTGGTCCAGACTTGGAACTAACCATTTAATAACAGTACCATCCAAAAAGCTACCCAGGGCCTCCCTGGTGGCGCAAGGGGTTGAGCACAGCACTGTGAAGCAATCAGCAACCTCTGCAGCACAAGTTCAATCCCCGGCCAGGGAGCAACCCACATGTGCAACAGACCTCTCCTGGCTCACCCTCTGCTCCCCTCAGCAGTGTATTTCAGTCAGTCTGCCTGTTCTGTTCCCCACTCTGTCTCTGGTGAATCCTCTCACCCCCCCATCTCTGGCCTGCACCCCAGCTCTTGTATGCATAAATAAATAAATTAATAGCCACCTAGTGCCTTTCTGCTGTACCATTTTTCTGTGAGGAGGTCAACATCTTTGCCATAATAAAGTTTACATCTTTCATTCTCCTATTTTACAAGTTTTGTTAAAATGGTTTAGTGATAGGTCACCTGGAATGTGGGAACAAGTACTTCTTTTTTTTCCCACAAAGGTATGATGGTATAGATGTAACTTTCTTAAAATTTAAAGTTAAAGCTCTCCTTACCTCAGGAATATGCCCTTGAAACAAATATACTATTAAAACATTAAGTTACTTGAATAAAATGGTTAGATTTAACCCTGATGATAACACTAGCTGCATTGAAATGGAAGCTTAAAATACTGCATGGGTTTTGTTGGGACAGAACAAAAACCAAAACAACTTAGAGTATATTATGTATATTACATAAAATCTCAGTTTCCCGGTGAATGATTTCTCCCAAAGAATTATTTACAAAGTGTTTGAATTCTGCCTCCATCTTTTTAAGGCAGTAAAAAATTCTATTGCTTTAGATACGTTCAGTTAATTTGGATTTTTGACACAGAAAAAAGTTAATTACAAATGTAAAATAAATTAGATGTAAGAGGCTAGTTTTTGTACCCAGCTCTGTTCCCTTTAACTGCGTATCAACCATGATTCTCAGTAAGAAAGGATATTTGAAATTGCCAGAGTCCAGCTCCCTGATTAGAATGTACTAAGAGCTGCAAAGAAAGTACTCTTTCTTCATAGCTATCCAAACCTACTTCAACAATTCTAGTAAGAATTACAGAACACGTAAGCATATATATGGAAATGAAAAGGCAGACTCTCTTGCCAAGTTAGAGTTTCAGGGTAGATTTCTAGTGATCTGATTTATATTTGGGGTGCTATTAGAGAATTATTAATATAGAAATTCTGTCTCATTACTCTAAAGAACAAACCTAGGTTTGATAGAAATATTCTAAAATGAACATATATGTGCCTCCAATATTTGAATTTCAAAAATTAGCCGTACTGCTTGTATGATTGAAGGAGTAACTGAAGGGTTTGACTCTAACACAAAGCATAAGGTATTTCAAAAAGGAAAAACTGTGAAAATGATTATTTTTCCTTTTAATTTGTTTTGCTGATTTTTCTCTTAACATTCTTATTTTGTTTAATTTATAAATTCTTTGTAATATAAACTATATTCATAGCTTATATTTGCCTTACTGGTGTTGGTAAAGTATCATGGACACTTGTGCAATAAATAATTACCAGCTGTAGAAGGGCCTTACCCAGGGCTTAGCAGCACTCTAGCAAAATCACCATACAGTTGTCATCTTTGGCCGAGAGCTGATGTTGAAAATCTTGACTAGAATTCATTTGCTTAAATAAGGGAAATTGATTTATTGAATATCTTTTTTTAATTTGACAACTGAGGTTCTGCCTTATCCAAATTTTAATAATTCATAAGATATTTATGTGCTGATCAAAAATCAGCATATCCCAATAAGATACTGCGTATTTATTTAGCATCCAGGTGTATGGATACTCACGCTCATTTATTTTTCATTCTTTTTCCTTTTTCTTCCTTTTATAAGGTAAATATGCTATAGTTTTCCTAAAACTGAATGAGAAGCTCTGTTTTACAAAGCATTCATTTACCTTTTGATCTAACAGACATTCCTGTTTGGCAGATTCCTTAGCCCTGCAAGAGAAGAAAGTTATAAAGTAGGATAAATTTCTTAAATCCTGTTGTGAATTAAATAGTCAACATTTATCAGGAAAGATAACATCTTCCTCTCCCTGTGATGTCTCCCTCCTTTTAGGAAGTAATTTTAGTTTATAAAACTCAGTAAAATTTTTTTCCTACCTCTCACACCTGACTATTTAAATATGTGACCATTCATAGGATTTCATTTTCTGCTTAATATATAAACTTTTCCCATGGTATTTCTGAACATTGTCCAGTATGTCTTAATATTTCTGCATCTTGAAGACTTATCCACTTAACCATTCATGTGTCCACCTTACTTTGTTTACAGTTTTAAAAGAAATAGAGATCATTTGTTGAGATTAAGAAACATACCTAAGGGGCCTCCCCGGTGGCACAGCGGTTGAGCGCTGGGTTGCGAAGCTGCCCGCGGCCTCTGCGGCGCCGGTTCGATCCCCGGCTGCTCCCCGGCCACCAGAGGAGGGTCCCACATGGCGCGCAGACCTCTCCTGCCGCCCCGCCCGCTGCTCCCCTCAGCAGTGCACTTCGGTCCTTCTGCCTGCTCTGCTCCCCGCTCTGGCTCTGGTGAATTCTCTCACCCTCCCACGCTTCTGACTGTACCCAGTGCATGTATAAACAAAACAAACAAACAAACAAAATAAATAAATAAAAAAAACATGCCTCTATAAAAAAAAAAAAATAAAAAGTTTAAAAAAAAAAAAAAAAAAAAAAGAAACATACCTAAGAACTCTGAGATATCTGTTATTTTATTAGTATAGACCTAACATTGTAGTACTCACCTGAAGGAAATAAAAATTACAAAGCAAAGATTTCTTTTCCCTTAGTTTGAAATATTGTCATGGAAATAAAACTTTTTCCAGGATTTTCTGCCTGTTAAACAAGAAAAGGAAAAATCCCTTTCAGAAAACATGGATGCATTTGAAAAAGTGAGAACAAGATTAGAAACACAACCACAAGAAGAATACGAAATCATCAATGCAGAGGTAGGATATCATATGCTTTGTTTTGTTTCAGGAATTCTAGATTCAAATTATGCCATTAACTAGCAGATAATAAATGTGTCATGAGCTATGTGAATTCCTATCAATCAAATACATTTAATTTGTGGATATTAGACAAGAGCACTATTCATATATTGTAATATTCTCTCAATCTCAAAGTGTCTATATCTGTCACCCCACAGAGTATATATGATTCTTTGTTTAAAATATAGTCAAGATCACGAACAGTTAATGGTGACAGCAAATAATCTCAGAAAGTTAGTTACTGGATTTTCAGACTAGCCTGAGACACAGTTTTCCTCATCTATAGCACTTGGATTATTAACAAAGGGAAGATGTGACTGTATTACTAAATGATCTGCTCCAATTTTTTAAATTAATGTTGTGGGGAAGAACTAAATTTCTCTTAATGGATATCCACTATAGAGATGTCAGATGTTCCCAAAGTCTATTAAAGTGGTTTGCTTGCATTTATGTATTAGAAACTCATCCAGTGATTTGTGAACATAAGGAAACCATATCTTTAACAACTATGTTGTAAAAAAATAATATATTTTCCATTTTTATGTGCTCATTTATATACAGCAACAGGTCTGCTTTTTATAAAAGATATCATTTCTTCTTCACCTTAAAGAGTCAGACCGTTAAACAGTTAAGCTAAATCATATTTAAATTACTAAGTAAATAATTATTGCTATTATTATTAAAAGACTATTCTTTTTATTGTCAGATTAAACATGGTGGTTTCGTTTATTATCAAGAAGGTTGCTGCCTGGTTCGTTCCAAAGATGAAGAAGGTACACCAGTTTTTCTTTTTAATACACCATCATTTTTCAGATTTCAAGTATTTCACAGGCATTTTGATGTTAATTTCTCAAAGGTATAAAAATATCTTTTTAAGATTAGTTTAGAATTTTTTCAAAATTCAGACAGTGTATTTCTTATATAAACAGCAAAAGGAAGAGTAGTTAAAGGGATCAATTTCCCATGGTCTTTATCTGGACACCAAAAGATGATGCTGAAACACAAGGGGTTGATTTTTTTTTTTCAATGATTAGTTTTTAATATCTATGTTTGTGTAAGATAAAACTACACTCGAAGCTTTGGCAGGGAAAATGGAGGTGGGAGTCAGCATTTTACAGTATCTCTATCCCAGGTACTATTATACTTTACATAAATTATTCAATGTCATTTACATTCTCATTCTTCTGTATAAAAACTAGATTATAATAATAGCAAATAATATCACATAGGTTTTATTGATGCATAGAATGACATTGAGTCGCATAGGATATTAAATAATGCCAATTTCTGTACCCATCAAACTGTCATCAATGCCAAAGGAAGGTTATAGCCTTTTATAAAAGGGGAATGGTAATTTAACACATTGAAATACAATTTTTAAAAATTTTAAGTATATCTTCTGGAGTTATTTCTTTCATTTTTCTGTGCAGCAGACAATGATAATTATGAAGTGTTATTCAATTTGGAGGAACTTAAATTAGACCAGCCCTTCATTGATTGTATCAGAGTTGCTCCTGATGAGAAATATGTGGCTGCCAAGATAAGAACTGAAGATTCTGAAGCATCTACCTGTATAGTTGTGAAGCTCAGTGATCAGCCTGTAATGGAAGCTTCCTTCCCAAATGTGTCCAGCTTCGGTAAGCCCCAACTAAAATAGTTTTCTTTGTTGAAAAGGCAATAGTAAGAGCATTGTCTGCACTTATAAACATCTTTAATTCCCCATATGAATGAATGAGAAGATGGGTACCTGATCCATTTATCCCTGTGAGCTCTGTACCTTCCTATGTACCTCTTATGCAAGAGACCCTTTCTCCTGTAAACATATATCAGCATCCAAGTTGTACAACAAATTTTACTATATCAGTTAAGTCTTTACTAATTATTACTTAGAATACAAATTTTTGTATATAAATTGTATATTCATATTTTATTCAGCTTTAAGCTTTGGTATGAATTTTTTTTCACATTTCACATTGTATGTCAAACTGTTGCAACACATTGCCCAAGGTCATGACCAAGGAATCTTGAACTTACTAAACTAAATTATTCATCAATAAAAGTTGTGGCATTATTACTAATAGAACCAACTTATAATTTTATCCTTTGTCATTGAATGGTACAAATGTTCGTACTTTATCTTCCCTTTTCATTTTCTGCCATAATTTCCCCCAGTATTTTAATAGCTAAAAGCTTCTGCAATGAATTGAGATTATTATACTCTAATTGATTCTAAGACATACATTTTCTACATGTAATCTTTACAGTCAGGCTGCACATTACATAATGATGTCTTACAGCCACTGTCAGCCAGGTGGCAGTCGTGATTGTGATTGTGTGAAATGTCTACTGACAGCTTCTGGTAAGATCAAGAAAATACCAGCAATAAAATATATTGGTAGTTTAAGGTAATCTGTGGCTTAAAGGGAGACAGAAAATTGAGGCATGAGAGGAAATGATCTAGTATTTCCTGAGACTTAAAGTTCAAAGTTGTAGATTTAAACATAATTCATCTGAAAACAAATGTGACTTTACCAAAATCTTTCCTAAATATTGAACATTCAACTCTTATTTAGAAACCTGAAATAGGTAACTACTTGGAAACTTGGTATTGCTATATTTTTTCCTCTGGAGAGCTCTCTGGCAATTACAGAACATGAGCTACAGTGGGACTTCTGTTAGATTTAGATTTCCAGGATAAACCTGCCTTTCTTTGTCTTTGACACTCCCAATTAGAAAATGCATTGTACCTTTTTTTTTTTAACTATAAGTAGGCGGCTATGTATAATTCATTAATTACTTTCTCTCAGAATGGGTAAAAGATGAAGAAGAGGAAGATGTTTTATTCTACACCTTCCAGAGGAATCTTCGCTGTCATGATGTGTATCGAGCCACTTTTGGTGATAACAAACGTAATGAACGTTTCTACACAGAAAAAGACCCAAGGTACTAGAATCATGCAATTAAATTTTTTCTCCAGTTATCTAATATGTTGCTTTGGGATGGAACATTAACGTGACAGCATAATCATTACTCATAATCTTTTATTGTTTGGATTCAAAATTGAAGTCTGATTGTGTTCACACTCTAAAGTGAATACAAATATATAGCTTGTGGATTCTGAGTACCATATAAGCAGCCTCAAATCTAAAGGGATGGACCAAAACAGAAAATCAGAGTACTTGAAGAGAAAATGAAGTAAAGGTCTCCAAGAGCTTGTAAAACACAGAGCTGCTTCCTGCTGCATTTGCTTCAATCCCCAAGTCTCAGTTTTCTGTTCTTACAAGAAAAGTTCACCAAAATTATGTCATAATCCCTTTGCCTATACCCCTGTTGGCCCAGTTTTGTTTTGTGTTTTGGGTAACCTGATTTTGAAAAAGGTATTGTTATACATATGGCTAAAAAGACCCCCGACCAGCCAGGTTCTTCATCTACTTTATTTACTACTTTACCACATTTGACTGATCAGAGCTAGTGTTTTATTTTGATAGTAGAGTGCCTCTGAAAAGCATGTTCAAGGAAAATGCCAGCTATGCTATTTTTAAGGATTGGTGCATTGTGAATATTAATTCGTCTCTTTTCAAATAGTTCCAGAGTATTGCATTTACACATTCTAAGAAGAGCAATATTGTATAGTTTCTAACTGGAAGAATCTTGACAGAATTAGGAGACCTGATTTTTTAAGTCACTAAAAAACAACCCCTTTGCAACATTGCCCCCCCAAAAAGGTACTAGTACAGTCATTGTAGAATTTACAGCGGTTCTACTACCAAAGGCCATAGGTCACTGGAAGTCTGAGAAGTCACTAAAACCAACTTGGTCACTGAAAGCTCTGGGACTCCAAATCCCAAAGATCCCAATGGGGCAGCTCAGAGTAACCTTAAATGTACTGAGCTGCACCAAATTTCTAAATTTTGAAATTTCAAAATTACAACTTCTTTTAGAAATTAGTCTATTAAAATGCAGAAACAGTTAAAGAATTATCTGAAACATACACTAATTAGTAAGCAAAGCCCTACATCTTCTATGCTTCATCTACTGCTCTTGGTAAAAACTAAATCCTCTTGTGGAAAGTAGACTTAGCCCAGAATGATCTCTTCTGTGTGGCAAATGGTTCTAGTCTTATTTCTTCCAGATTGTTTGATTTATCTTAAACAAGCCCTTTCTTGTTGAGTTTCTGCCTGCTCGGGAGTGCTGGACCTGCGTGCTTTAGGATCACATGATGATACTGATGTATTGATTCCAAATGTCTTCCGTGACTACTTCCAACTTTGTTCTTCCTCAGAATTGCTTTGGTTATTTGATGTGTTTTGTGGTTCTATCCAAATTTAGGGTGTTTTTTTCTGTTTCTGTGAAAAGTGGTATTGAAATCTTGACAGGGATTGCATTCTCTGTCTTTATTTTCTTTCATCAAAGTCTTTTAGTTTTTAGTGTACAGATCTTTTCTCTTCTTGGTAAAATTTATTTGAGTTTATTTTTCTGATGTTATTTTAATGGGTTTGTTTTCTTTGTTTCTTTTTTCAGTAACTCATTGTTAGTGTAGAGAAATGCAGCTGTATGTTGATTTTATATCTTGCACGATTAATGAGGTAGCATGCTTTTGAAATTTACTGGATTTCTCATCTCTCTCTCTCTCTCTCCAGCTATTTTGTTTTCCTTTATCTTACAAAAGACAGCCGTTTCCTCACCATAAATATCATGAACAAGACCACTTCTGAAGTGTGGTTGATAGATGGCTTAAGTCCTTGGGACCCACCAGTGCTTATTCAGAAGCGAATACATGGAGTCCTTTACTACATCGAACACAGAGATGATGAGTTATATATTCTCACTAATGTTGGTGAACCC